TGCCTCTGTTATCCTAGATGTTATGGGATGAATTGCATCCCTCCAAAATTCATATGTTGACATCCTAATGCACTTCAGAATGCAATCAGAATGTAATTATATTTAGAGAGAAGGTCTTTAAAGAGATAATTACTTTAAGGTCTTTAAGATGATTCCAAATCCAATCTGACTGGTGTCCAGAGGAGAAATTTGTACACACAAAGAGACACCAGGGATGCACACGCACAGACACAAGACCACGTGAAGACATAGCAAGCAGGTGGCCAAGCTAAGTAGAGAAGCCCAGGGAGAAATTAAACCTGTCAACAGCTTGAGCTAGGACTTCCAGCCTCCAGAACTCTAAGAAATACATTTCTGCGTCTTAAGCCACCCAGTTTGTGGTGTTTTGTTATGGTAGCCTGAGCTGACTAATACAGCAGATAATGAGTCCGCTCATCAGGTCTCCAAATACGTGCCAGACTTTCCTCTCTCTGTAATTTTACTTTTACTTACTGTTTTAGTCCACTCGGCTACTATGAAAAAATATCATAGACACTGGGGGGTGGGGGTGGGACTATAAATACCAGAAATTTATTTCTCGCAGCTCCAGAGGCTGGCAAATCTAAGATCAAGCCACCAGCAGATGCAGTGTCTGGTGACAGCCTACTTCTTGTTCATAGATGGCCATTTTTTTGATGTGTCCTCATATGGTGATGGGGCAAGGGAGCTCTCTGGGGTCTCTTTTATAAGGGCATATGATCCCATTAATGAGGGCTCTACCTTCAAGACCTAGTTATCACCCAGAGGCCCCACCTCCTAATACCTCACATTGGGGGTTAGTTTTCAACATATGAATTTTAGGGGGGGGGACACTCATCTACCCTAAAACTCCTTTTCTTTTATCTCTGGCTGGTCAATCTTCCCCCCACCATGTTTTACACTTTACCCCAGATATCATTTCTTCCTTGAACTCTTCTTTGATCCTTCCCACCCATCCTTACCCCTCCAAGGTAGAAAAGGTCTCACTCCCAAATTTCATTTGTGCATGCCTATTTTATAATTTTAAATTCTGTTATTCCTGAAAATAGAGGCTAGGTTTCCAGAATTTGGGCTGAAGACGGGAAAGATGAAAGGACTATGGGGCCATCAGAAGTCATCGTGGTTTGTTTTTAGAATGAGCAAGGCTTATGCCCGATTTTAGACTGAGAAATTGTTCTAGTGGCAAAAGGACGGTTGAAGAGTTAGACGGAAATTGAAACTTGCTGGAACCAAGTGTTAAAGGAGACAGAAGAGGTGGTCAAAGAACAGACAGAAGGAGGGGTTGACATTGAAAGAAAAACAGCTCATGTTCTGAAACTGGAGGGGACAATGTGGGGAAGAAACTAGTTTGCTAATTTTGTGGTTTATTATTTCTAAAATCATGAAGAGCATGAGCTCCAGAGCCTGATTCCTAAGTCCCTTCACTCATCATGCTGGATCTGTGACCCAGATGGCTTTTAAATTCTGTTCAGTCTTAGTGTTTCCAGGTCCGCAGTGGGCAAAATTGTCACTGTCATCAAGGATTAAATGAATAACACGTGTAAAGTAGTGAGCACAGAACCCAACAACAGTGATAACAGTAATTCTTATTACTATGTTAGTGCCCTCCTGTCAAAGAACAGATTGGGTTGATTGCTCTTTGGAGGGAGAATGCACTCCCCTGGGGAATCGTGGAGCCTCTCAGAAAGGGAATGTTAGAAAGGATTTATTACAGGATTTGGGATTGTGTTAGGTTCTTTGGCGGAGTGTTTAGGGACTTTGCTCTTTGTTCTAGATTGGATGCTGTAAGGAAGTGGGGGTAATGCTGTGATTGGGTTTATCCATCAATTTTATGCAAGGCACCACTCATACTAGCCAGGAGAGGGGGCCCTGTGGTCATTTTGGGGCTTGAACAGGGCTCCTATTTTAGCTGTGTTCAGACTTATAATGGAGGGGTTTTGTTTTTGTCTTGATGTCAAGGCAGTTGCAACACCAGGACCTGGCTGATAAATGCCTGAGGACCTGGGTTTCTGTAGGGTTGTCTGCTGAGAATGAGGTGCTTAGAGACTGAGGGGTGTTGACCACCCTTTTTTTTTTTTTTTTAATGATAGTTACTGAAGAAAATCAGAAAGGCTGTTGGGCGGCCCCAAAGCTGTGACCTTAGATGTCTGTAGCCATGTGTGCTGCGATTGTGTGATTCCCAAGGTGTTTGGCTGCACAGCACAGGTGTGGAGAGGCACATCCTACAAGTGGTTCTGGCCTAGGGTTGACAGAAGGACTAGGGCACAAAGACAAGAGTGAGAGTTGAGAGGGTGGTGAGCACAGATCTGTTGCTATGTTGTGATGTATGGGAAATGCCGTGAACAGAGACAGGAGATGAGCGGACTAACCACCAGGAGAAGAGTCGTTTAGAAAACTGTCCAGTAGAAGCCCTTCTGAGTAATGAGAAGCTCCCTGGCTAGAAAGAGTCCAGGGCATTGACAGTGAGAAGGTCGGGGGTGAAAATGGAAAATCTGCATTGCCAAGTCAACCAAGCAGGTAGACTGAAGTCTCCTTGCACTGGGAATGGCCGGCAATCCTTGTACAGACGGAGGAAAAGATAACTCCAAACTTTGCCGTGAAAGAGAGGAGAAGGCATGGGGGTCAACACTCAGAAACGAAGACCCTTTGCTCTTCTCTGCTCCTGCTTTTATTGGTCCTTCAAGATAATCACAAATCCTTTATCACTGTTTCTCAAGCACGTGATGTGTGACAAGGGGGTCTTACTGAAACTGGGAGGATTTATGGGAAAGATATGCTAAGATATGCTAATTTGCATCGCCTACTAAACATAGCCTAGGGGACAACGCATTCTTCTTTTAGATCACAAGTGCGGCTCTTTGGGCTAAGAAGGCTTCAGGGAAGGCAAATCCCCGTGGCATTCCAAAGGCAGAGTGGTCATGAGGACCCCGGCATTCCAAAGGTCTATGCCCTTCTGCAAAACCCTCCCTTGCCCCCAGCGGCCTCTGTGTTACGTTTTAGCAAGCCAGGTGTCATGGCTGATTTCATGCTCTACATTATCCCCAACGTCCTTGGGCTACTTTGAATTTGTCAGTCTGTCTGTCTCTTCTAAGACAGGATGCAAGTGAGGTGATGAGTTCTCCTGCCTCTGTCCACAACAACCCTCACCTTTCCCTCCTCGGATGGGTGACATTCTCTCATATCCCATTTTTAGAGTATGTTCCACTTCGACGGGAAAGGATACCCTCTTGCACTGGTTTGCCATATGGCCCCTCCCCCAGCATCTCCGAGATTTTTTTATGATGGAGTATTTCATTTTGCGTCCTCTCCTCAGGGCTCTGGCACGCGGTCATGGAGGAGAGAAGAGGTCAGGGGAAGACCTGGTAAGCCAGGTCCACAGTTTTTACAGAACTCTCTCCTCTATCAGGGATGAATTGCCTTTGGAACAAACCTCAAAACCCTTAGGAGGCCGCCTCTCAGGACCTCAGGAGCATAATCATTGCCTCTCATGCTGGGCCCGCCACCAGTAGACAGTCTGCTCTTTATCCTGAACTTCTCCAGAATGCGGGGTGGTAGAGAGCTCTCAGTAGTGAATGATTGACGGGCTGGTTAAATGACTAAACTAATACTGAATGTGGCCTGTTACTTTAGCACTGATTTTCAACAGATGTTTATGGGGACATTAGCTATTCTTTAGGGGTTTCTTAAAGGCATCCACACCAGTGATCGAGAACCCTGTCCTCCACATCTTTCTTTACCAAAGGAACTTAGCTTTTTTGTTCTTCCTGATTTTAGCCCACAAATAAAATACATTCAGAGAATGGTTGTTGAGTCTTTAAGAGAGAGAGACAGAGAGCCACCACTGGCTAAGGGATTGAAGTTCTGCATTTAATCATGCAAAATCTGGCCATGATTGATTCTTCCCAATTCATTTTCTTCTATTTGCTCACATAAATTCCTTGTCTAGTCTAGCTTATATAATGTGTCTGCACCAGCCATTTCCGGTCTCCATATTTTTGCTCCCTGAATCTCCATCCTCTGACCTCAGCTCATGCAAGTCTTCCTTGATCCCTATGCCTGGATATGCTCTCTCCTTATGCTGAGCTCCATAGCATTTATTATGCCTCATGGCCCACACTTTATGTTGCATACTTTACTTCCCCGACCAGATGGTTCATTCATTCACTTACTCACTTGATAAGTGTTCGTTGGTGCCTGTTAGGGACCATGCATGTGGCTAGGTACTGAGATTCATAATGCATAACACAGATACCTCTGCCTTCAGAGTATGTAGTTGTCTTGTTTTATACATGTTTTGATATTGATAAAATTTTCATCATCCTTGGAAGTAAATACCTATATAAATTAGAAATAATTATTTTAATTAAAAAATGGGTGCTTACTGAAGCCATTGGAATACTTGAAGTTGCCTTCCTGGATTGTACACCTGTCATGGGCAAGTGCCATGTATTAGTTAGTCGTCAATCAGGGTAGATAAGGTCAAGCTGCAGTTAAATAAAGAAGGCCCCCAATTCTCAGGAAGTTAATAAACAGAAATTTATTTATCACTTATGCAAAGTCTGCTATGGGTCTAGGCAACTGTCCAGGGAGGCCATTCTCCCTGATGGCTCATTAGTAAGATCTAGTTGATTTGGCTTAGTATCTCTGCATTTAGCCTAATAACTGGCACATAGTAAAAGCTTACTCGATATTCAGCGAATTCACATACCTTGTTTTCTTCTCTTTTAAATATTGTGTGTGATTTTGTGTATGTGTACATAGTGGATCTACTTTTCCTCTCCAGGCAGGTGCTTCTCAGTTCATTAGTTCTGCAGGTCTACAGCTCCACAAATTTGTGACTCCTGGGAGTAAAAGTACAGAGACCTATCACAGTGAGGCCACTGTGATCACAACCACGGTGACAGCATCGGTAGAGAGAAGCTCCCTGTGATACAACAGGCACCCAACTACCCACTGACCCTCATCTCTTCAGACTTTCTCTTTTAGACCCCATAAAAAGGCAAAGCCCCCTTCCAGAAAGTCCCCCATTAAAAGGTCTATTTGTTTAGTGGGGTGCCTGAGGCCTGCCCCTCACTGTAAGGCAAATCAATAGCACTGCTTGCCTTGCCTCTGGTTCCTGGCAGCTGGCTGCAGGGGGCCCATGGGTAGGGACCAGAGTGGGACCAGGCAGGAGCCATCTGAGTGCAGCCTTGGATCTGACAGCCCAGAGAAGGGCTGGAGTAGTAAGGATGGGGCCGAGGTTGAAAATGGGCCTTGTGTGAACCTTAACCCCAACCTGCTCACCTTGGAGGAGCCCTGAGCAAGAAACCTGGCTATATCAAACTGCACAAGATCGGGGCAGCCCAGAACATCTCCAGGAGGATTGCCACATCCCAGAACCTTCTCCATCTCACTACTGACAACCTTGTCCTGAACCTAGGATGAAAGTTTTACCCGGGGCAGTGACAGCCTCATCAAGGATAAGAAATGAGCCTGGTGACCAGGAACTTCACTCCCGGAGAAGAAGCGGGTCTGTTTCTCCCTCTCCCGCCAGCTTGGGGTGCAGCACACCCCTATCCTAGCCCCCGTATCAAGCAGTGGTCCCTTCTGCCTCTGTCATCCCAACCCTTTTAGGATGAAAAAGGCTTGACCAATTTCCCAGGGGAAAGATTTTGCTCCTCCCTGTGTCGGCCAAAGGTGTTGGGACAGTGTGATTTCTGACTGATTCCCTACAGTGTTGGCTCCTCCTTCCAGGTTGGGAGTCAATAAACACCATCCCAGGAATTCTCAATAAATTTTTATTACTTATGCTGAAAAAAAGAAAAAAAAAAAGTCTGTTTGCAATGAACCTGGCTAGGTTCCGCAGAGAATCCACAGTGCAGTTCCAGGATTCCTTCCCTGGTTAGATAAATAACACTGGCCAGCACTGTCACCACACATCCCACATCTGAGGATTGGAGCCTTGCCTAAAAAGGAAGACAGGCTGTCCTATGGTCAGGGCCTCTCAAGAATCTGCAAACTTCTGCATTTCCCAGCGCTTCCTATGTGGGGTCAGAGAAATTCTGACCAACAGACTTTTAGAGGGTGAACTTCCCATGAACCTCCCTCCAGGACAAATGAGAATAAGAACATTTCTGTAGTAGAGTGGCATTGGGGCAGACACATCTTTATCTAGATGTTAAATTTTCATTGGAGGGCGCCTGGGTGGCTCAGTTGGTTAAGCGACTGCCTTCGGCTCAGGTCATGATCCTGGAGTCCCGGGATCGAGTCCCACATCGGGCTCCCTGCTCAGCAAGGAGTCTGCTTCTCCCTCTGACCCTCTTCCCTCTCGTGCTCTCTATCTCTCATTCTCTCTCTCTCAAATAAATAAATAAAATCTTTAAAAAAAATTTTCATTGGAAATACCTGATTTATATTAGATTTCATAAAATTTCCAGTTGAAAAAGTTAGGCTCACATATGTAAGTTGTTCCAGCCATATTTGAAAGTTTCCCAATAACTAAATTGGATACCAAATAATCATTTTCCTTTATAGTTGCACCCACATTGACAGACTTGGTTCATTTTTATTGGAAGAATTGATTTGGCTTTGAAACAAAAGCATCTGTTTCAAAATTACATTTGTCCAAGTTAAGTAAATTCATTAATCCTGCTATCAACTCCTTATTATTAAACATCAAATTAATAAGTAAAATCAAAACTTGACTTCCTTAAGTTGCACTACCCACATTTTAAATACTCAATAGCCATAGGTGACTACCGGCTACTATATTGGAGAGTGTAGATTTGGAGACATCATCTCTGAATAATGCAATCAGATGGATATACAACAGTTATTCTGTAGCCAAACCAAGGCAGTGGCCAAGGTCAAGGTGGTTAACAGCCTTTACCTTTCCTTTGTCGGATTGGAAGTCTTGCAGCTTATGGGTAGACTGATTCTAGTTTGTCTTGAGCCACGGAGCTGCCAACCTCCTGGTAGTCTGGGGTTTGCACCTATCACCCAGTATCTTTTGTGCGAGGGACCCTCAAATGTTTGTTCAATGGTTGCCAAGTTCATCTAGTGCTTAGTTGAATCTTGCTTCACCTTGAGAGATTTTTTTTTAACATTTACTCAATGAAAAGGAAGGTTGAAGTACTCATTAACTCTTCCAATTTGCTGCATGAACTTGATACTCTTTATGCATAAATTTAGCCTTTCCACTTCTAAAATGGTACCATCTAAAAGCAAATTAAGGCAAGACCGATGAAGCATTCTAGGCAATATTTGAACTTGGCCTCCTGACTTTTTTTTTTTTTTTGGCCTGGTTCATGTCTGTGATTTAATTAATTTGGAAGTTAAGTCAAAGAGGAGCTTAGTGTGAATTCAAAGAAATTTTCAGCTTGAGGCACCTTGTTTTTTCAGATATCTAGTTTGAAAAATGTAGTTTTGATTTTTAAATATAATTTAAATACTTAACTCTATCAAAAATCACAATGACAAATGTGTACGGTGTGGAAATGCATTTCTTAAAAGAAGCTGCCCTAAATTACTTTAGCAATCTCTTTTGATAAATCTTCGGCCACTTGTGTATATTATTAAGAGATCAACAAGCAGGAAACATATAATTTTAGCTGGGTTAAAGTCTTTAGTTTTAAAATAAGGAAGACAGATGAGTAACAGAGGCATTTTAGATACAGCCTGGTCTGACCAATGAGCCATCACAGAGCTCTAGAAGATTGTTCCTTTGTGCTTGGGTCTTCTGATAAAAGTCTCCAGTTTGAAGCAATGGATTCATAGACTATTGTTTATGCTTCTGCCATAATTCTGTGTGGCCCTTTTGTATCAAGAACCAGCATTTCTTCTTAGGAAATATCCAACTCGTATACACACACACACACACACACACACACACACACATACTTTGGGTAATTATAAAATTGCACAGGATAAAAGAGAGAGAAAGATATCATTGACCACAACAAAAAAGAAGTAAGGAAGGTACAAAGAACTTTAAGCCTTTGTGTATTGTAGTTTTTGGTATACAAGACTGCTTTTCTGGGGATGTTGTGCTTAGCTTTGGTGTTCCCAGAATGCCTGAGTACAGTGAGGTTCAGGTGTTTATTTAACAATGAAAGTGGCGTTCAAATTAAATCTGTCAGGCAGCCAAGTCCATCATCAAAGGTTTAACTATTCTTACAGGGTCCTTAGAGGATATTTTACATGGGATTGTGAAAGTTAACATTTCTATACTCCTTTTGCGTGAGCCTGACAATCTTCAGATTTTCTCTCTTGGTGTTCATATTGAGATCTGAACCAAGAGGCACATAAAAACCAATAACAACTCTATTTATTACCAGAAAGGACCCTCAAATGGCAGGCTTCAATTCTAACATATTTTTCTTTTCTGCAGGAATAATTGATGAGAGTTAAAACATCTACAGGGCACATCTTCTTGTAAGGGCCACCTGATGTTTTCCATGAAAGAAAATATATTTGCAGGGGTGCCTGGGTGGCTCAGTCAGTTAAGCATCTGACTCTTGATTTTGGCTCAGGTCATGATCTCAGGTTTGTGGGATCAAGCCTTATGTCAGGCTCTGAGCTCACCAGGGAGTCTGCTTGAGATTCTTTCCCTCTGCCCCTCCCCCTGCTCATGCTGGATCTCTTGCTCTTTGTCTCTCAAATAAATAAACAAATCTTAAAAAAAAGAAGTTAAAAAAAAGAAAGTATATTTGTAAACCAGGAATGACAAGGGGCTTGAGAGGCTGGAACACCCCCACAATGGCCAAAAGCTCTTTTAACTAAACACAAACGATCTGTAAAGTTAATGTGTTTTTGCCATATGATAAGATTTTTTTCCCTACTAAACTGTACTTCTTATATGGAAATTCTGAAGCAGTCAATGTTTGCATGCTTAAATGAGTATCTGTTATAAAATATATTTTTTCCTAAGCCGACATGAACAATTTCAATATAGAAAAGTATTCTTTGAGTTCAGGGTTTTGTTAACTGAGAACATTTTGGGAGAGGTTAATTTGCAAGTGTACTTTTCATTATTTAAGTTAGATTCTTTCTGACTTTAAACTTACCATATTGATGTTGAATAATTATTTTCAGGAATGCTAGATGAGCATTAGTATGTGGTACTGTTGAGATAAGTAAATGCACTGTTGTTCTAGGAAGATCTGCTTTATGAATTATGTTTCCACAAGTGATTATTAATAAATATGTCTGAACTGGTCAGAGTGAGAATATAGGGGAAAATTATTTCATATTTTGCCATTTATGTCTCCTCTCAATAATAAACCTTTTTGATCAATTGTGCTTATGACATTTGTATTAAAAGACTCCAAGAATGACCTACTTTGAGGACATGGAAGAATTATCTTTTCCTTTGGTTATTAAATAAGAATAAAATTTATTAGCTAATTATCCTGTCTGTTTCCTTTAACTCTGGAATGGTGTGAACAAATAAATCATTGCTCCCAGCCTGGTGCATCAGTTTTTGGAAAAAGAAGTGAGGAGAAGAGGGTTTACATTTCCATGGCTTTGAATTCTTATGCAATAGTGATTTGATTTTTTAAAGCGTCTCTTGTCCAAATATTCCAGACCTTCTCTCATCAAATCCTAAGTGGATTAAGCTGTGGCTTGGCATTTAAATGTATTTTTAAGTTGTTGCTACTGAGGGAAGGAAAAAGTAAGGATATTTACATTTATCATTAAAGACCTAATATGTAACAAGTAATTTGTAATGTTGTCACTTTTAAGCTTCACAAACTTCCTGGAATTTAAGAAGCTAAGTAACTAACCCAAAGTGACCCCATGAGAGCATGGATTTGAAGCCTAAGAGGTCTCCTTAAAAATCTTGCACACTTTCCAATACACCATACTACCTCCATGAACAAAGAATTACCCTTTATCTGGATATTTAATGTGTATGGGTCTCTAGAGGGTAAAATGTGTGTGTGTATATATATATATATATATATAATATACAGATACACACATATCCTGGAAGTGTTTCTTGACAGCTGAGTTTACTTGAAGTATTTTGTTTTGGACTGCCTCGAACATGTCCTTGAACTTGAGGGGGACTACCCACACTACAAATCTGCCTACTTGGTATCAGTTACTGAGGAGAGGTCACAAGTTGGTTTCTCAGAGTTTCCAAAGCTGCAAGTCCTGATGATGACAAATGGCCTCCAACTTATGCCCCAATTTCCTTCATAGTTTCCCAGGAAAATGG